AACTTACGGGATGGAAACAGAAGGAGGTTCTTAAAGGGACAGAGGCCAGTTTCAAGGCATTTAGAAGAGGAAGTGTTGAGAAGACAAGTTTATTTTCTATTTAAACATAAAAACAGCATTTTAATAACAGCTAAACGTGACATAGATACTTTATTATGGTATAGTGTTTAAATATATGCCTGAGAAACACATAATATTGGCCCTTTAAAGTTGGTATAGTTACTGTAAGTTTAATACACTTATCTGATTTATCTACAAATAAACCAMTAGTTAGATTTTATTTGAAGCACAGATCAAATAAAGGTCCAGAGAAAAGCTGAACACAGAAACAGTACCTGGCTCCAGGCCGGTTCGAAGTCCCGGTATCAATCGGAACACCAATAAACGCCGCGTCCAGGCCTTCAGCCGAGTCCTTGTACGGTAACTTGGCCATGGTGGGAATACCAGAAACCCGCGACACGAACTCTGCGCTCGGTGGAACATTGTAACGTTTCTCTGAACACTTTCTGTTGGGGTTCAAGCTCGGAGTTCCTCCCTCGCTGCAAAAAGCCAACACTTGTCGCTTCAGAGCAGGATAGCCCCCTGCAGTGCGACCTAAAGTCAAGTTTTTCCAAACAGAAAACATCCTGCGTTACCTGAAGGCACGTGCTTCAGTCAAACCTGTGGACGAGGCGACACAGGTCCAAAGGTTTCAAGGTTTCAAAGTCCACTGTGGCGCCTCGTGAGGGCCGGTAACACCTGCTGTTAGTGCTGACCAGGCGGGAATTTACATATGTGGCCAAGTGTAACAGAAGAAGCCAGACACATTCAAGTATTTAAAGAACTGAGGTAGGTCTTATTTCCTGACTGTCCTAAGAAGGAACAGCATTCATTTTGGTTTGATTTGGTTGAAAAGAAATAAAATAAAGCAGCAATCAGCTTTCTAAAAAAACAACAAAAGTACAGTTTTTCTTTTCTCAAGATAAGAACAATGTATTGAGTGTTACAAAAAAAACTTTTATACCAGAAAAAGACAGTAGTGGGCTTATTAAATTGATCCTATAATAAGAATACAGGAAAACACCCCTAAGTATCCCATGTACTGTTACAAAAACATACAACTTTGCATGAAACATTACTTCAAGAATGGATAACATCTTATTTAACCACCTGACAAAACTCTGTAGGCTTGAACTCACTTGAAAATGGCTGACAGCCACTGTGGCAGTAAAAAAACAATGCTGAGTCTATCTCTCCTGATATAGGATTCAGAAGCAGAAGCAGCAAAGAGACACTGATGATGATGATGATGATGATGATGATGATGAAGGTGCTGCTGGGCAATTATGAATGAAATCTAAAATGTTTATTCAAATCAGTATTTTTTAATCCATTCTAGTCAGTTGTGTGATCCTCATGAAACACATTAATGATTTAAAATCATAATCTATTATTTTATGATGGCCAGTATAAAATGATTTATACGTATATTTTAACTTTAATTTTTAGCAAGTAGTAAAATTGTGGTACGAAGGAAATAACCTGTAAATTTATTTTATTTTATTTTATTATTATTACACATTATGAAAGTTGCATGATGTCAGTTTGTTATGAGCAAACCTATCACTAAATCTGAAAAAATGCTCCTTTAAATGTTGGTGCTTATCAAAATTAATTATTGCACCTGTTCATGGGTAAAGCTATTAATATTCTTATTTTTAAACATGCAGTTGAGTGTCATCATTGTTTGGCACATTAACGTGTTACAAATAAAACTAAATCAAGAATCAACAAAATAAAAGTAAAATGCACCCCTAAAGTCATTGTGATAAATTGTCACATTAGTTTCATTGTCTTAGTCACAGCAGAGAGTTAGAGTGAGAGAAACAGATAGGTGTGTATCTGTAAAAAATCTACATGAAAAAAGCACTATCAGTTTATTAAACACATTGAGATTATTGTGATATTGTTATTTTTATTATGTAAAAGGATTTGTTTTTTAATTTGCATTTATTTTCTATTTATTTTCCTCTTGTGCTTTAAGGTTTTTGTGAAGTTTACCTTAACTGATTTCACATTTTTAACCAGAAAATAGGAGGGAGACAGGCAGAGACAAAACAGGCAGCATTAGAGAGCTGAGAGCCAAAAAACTGAAAGAGCACCATGAGACAGGAGAGGAGGAGTGAGACAGGAGAGGATGAGTGAGACAGGAGAGGAGGAGTGAGATAGAAGAGGAGTGAAAAGGGAGAGGAGGAGGAGTGAGACAGGAGATGAGGAGTGATACAGAAGAGGAGGAGTGAGACAGAAGAGGAGAAGTGAGATAGAAGAGGAGTGAGAAGGGAGAGGAGGAGTGAGACAGGAGGGGAGGTGTGAGATAGAAGAGGTGTGAGAAGGGAGACAGAAAAGGAGTGCGACAGAAAAGGAGTGAACAGAGGAGGAGTGAGAATGGAGAGGAGTGAGACAGAAGAGGAGTGAGACAGGAGAGGAGGAGTGAAACAGAAGAGGAGGACTGAGACAGAAGAGGAGTGAGAAGGGAGAGGAGGAGTGAGACAAGAGAGGAGGAGTGATACAGAAGAGGATGAGTGAGATAGAAGAGGAGGAGTGAGACAGGAGTGAATGAGTGAGACAGGAGTGGAGGAGTGAGACAGGAGTGGAGGAGTGAGACAGGAGAGGAGTGAGANGAGGAGTGAGACAGGAGAGGAGTGAGAAGGGAGAGGAGGACTGAGACAGGAGAGGAAGAGTGAGGCAGGAGTGGAGGAGTGAGACAGGAGAGGAGGAGTGAGACAGGAGTGGGGGAGTGAGACAGGAGAGGAGGAGTGAGACAGGAGTGGAGGAGTGAGACAGGAGAGGAGTGAGAAGGGAGAGGAGGAGTGAGACAAGAGTGGAAGAGTGAGGCAGTAGATGAGTGAGGCAGAAGAGGTGTGAGACAGAAGAGGAGGAGTGATGCGGAAGAGGAGTGAGACTGGAGAGGAAGAGTGAGACAGGAGAGGAGGAGTGAGACAGGAGAGGAGGAGTGAGACGGGAGAGGAGTGAGAAGGGAGAGGAGTGAGAAGGGAGAGGAGGAGTGAGACAGAAGATGTGTGAGAAGGGAGAGGAGGAGTGAGGCAGGAGAGGAAGAGTGAGGCAGAAGATGAGTGAGACAGGAGTGGAGTGAGACAGAAGAGGAGGAGTGATGCGGAAGAGGAGGAGTGAGACAGGAGAGGAAGAGTGAGACAGAAGATGAGTGAGGTAAGAGAGGAGTGAAACAGAAAAGGAGTGAGACAGAAGATGAGGAGTGAGACAGAGGAGGAGTGAGACAGAGGAGGAATGAGAAGGGAGAGGGGTGAGACAGGAGAGGAGTGAGACAGAAGGGGAATGAGACAGGAGAAGAGTGAGACAGAAGAGGAGTGAGACAGAAGGAGTGAGACAGGAGAGGAGGAGTGAGACAGGGAAAAACAAAAATTACACGTATGAGTGACTGTGATGAATTTATGGAACAATCTGAATTGTAGTCCTGGCCTGGTGGAACTGAGATGGAGAAGCACGTATTTATATAAGCAAGCAAGTTATACCACTCTATGTAATGTCGTGGTTTGATGTAAACTGCCCAGGGCTTTGGCAGGGGCTTACGGGGCTCAAGCCCAGGACCCCGGCGCTTTGGGGGCCCTGCCCCAGAATGACATTTAAATTTTTTGTGAATGAATAGAGCCAGGCGCTGAATGTTTTGTCATTAGCCCCTGATCAAAACCGCTTTCTCACTGACCCCCTCTCCTCCAGGAGCGGGACGGGAAGATTGTGTCATCGTCAGCTCTTTGTGCTTCCAAGCTGTGTGTGTGGGAGGAGACGGCTTTTTTTTCCCACCAGCATCTCACAGCAGCGGCTCACCTTGGCCCCCGAGCCACCGGCCCACGAGATGCACCACCGGCAATGGCGCAGGTCACAAGACCGGTAGTTTAGTCCATGAACCGGCCCACAGGCTGAAGCGAACCTAATGAACCACTAACGCGTGCGGTCCATCTGTGCAGGGCAAGAGCGACATCAAGGAGCGACAGGTTCTGGGACGCTGCTGTTTTTCTGGGTTCATTGTGCTTCCAACTACGCCATATAAGTGACTTCTCTACCTCTGCTCACCTCGGGTTGGGCCGATCATACTACACAGCTGATTGCGCTGCAGGGTGCCACCTGAGCTGACGATGAAGAGCAGAGATCAGAAAAACTAGTCCCAATAACACCGGGCGGGCTGCTAAAACAAACAGTGGCGCTTATTAAAAACTAAACGTTCACAAAATAAGAAATGCCTTGTCTATAAACTTAAGGCTTCAACAGTTAAAGTACCAACAAGATTTGGTAAGACATGCAATTCCATTTTGGATCTTATTTTCACAAATRBATCCTCCATATATGGCATATCTGGAGTTATAAATACTTCAATCTGGGATCATTCACTTATTTATGTCATTAGAAAAAACCTTAAGAAACCTACAGGTCATGTGCATAATTTCATTAAAATTGGAATAGAGAATCTGATTATCTTCCAGTGTTTACATTTCTAATAAGATCAATTGTAAAACTGTGGTTTGGTTAGATAACAGTCAGGCTCCCTGTCATCCTTGAGGAGGTGCAGTGTGTGAGTGGTGCCTGCAGGGGGCTCTGTTCGGTTATCTGCTGTTTGCTGCTGTTGGTGACAGTGATGTGGGTAGAGTCAGAGGTTTCCAGTGCTCACCGTCAACCTCTAGGTGTCACTCATTGTCTAGCTGTAAAAGCAGCAGTGGAGGGTGGGGTTTGAGGATGGGGGGTCAGCTCCATGAAACTCTCTGCTCCTCTCTTTGTTTCTTCACAGCAGTTATTTCCATCTGCGGCCACAGATTTTTGTTTCCATTAGGCAGCAGACAGACAGGCTCAGGCCTTTTTGTTGTTCTTGTTGTTGCTTTTTAAAACAATTCAATGCAAACAGTAACAACACACCTTGTAGTTCTGTAAGATAAAACAAACCCGAACATCGATGTTGGATCAAATGTGTCCGATATACAGCTGGGGGGGATTTCTGACCAACTGTTGGGTTTAGATCATCTGATTTCTACAGAAAAATGCAGACTTTTCATCAACATGTTTTCCTAAAGCATCCTGTTTATTTAGTTTTCTTGATTTCACTG